CTTCTTGATGTTATCTGTGAAAATCAAATATTTCTTGATACTTATCTTTGACCTTATTTCTTTTAGAAAGTTGCTATTATGATGAGTTTTAATCATGTCTACCCAAAATTTATATGTTGAAGCTGTAACCCCCAGCACCTCAGAATAGGACCTCATTTGGAAAAAGGGTTGTTACAGATGTGATTAGTTAAGATGAGGTCATACTGGAGTAGGGTGGGCCCCTGATCCAACCCGACCAGTATTCTTATTAGGAGGGAAATATGAACACAGACATGCACATAGGGAGAATTCCAGGTGAAGACTGAAGTTATGCTGCCACAAGCCAAGGAATTACTAGAAGCCAGGAGAGAAGTCTGGGACATATACCCAGAGGGAAAGCCCTGCTGACACCTTGATCTTGACCTTCTAGCTTCCAGAACTATGAGACAAAAATTTTCTGTTGTTAAAGCCACTCAGATGGTGATAGTTTTTTACAGCAGCCCTAGCAAATTAATGCAACTGCCTAAGATTTATTTTTCCAGGTTAGTAGTTACTTTCAGGTCAAAGTTCAAGGTTTAATAATATATAATTTCTTGGTTTAGAATCCTAGTTATATTGATCAATTGTATGAAAAATTACATTGAATTGGGCTCTATTTTAATTGTACAGTGTCTTAGGGTTTAAAAATATTATCAAAATATATCAGTGTTTATAACCTTTAGTGAACATTTAGATTGCCTACCTGACATTTTGTTTGCTTAGCTCCCTTTTATCTTTCTGAATAAGCAAAATGATTTTGTCCAAGGCTTCCCTCCTCCCCAGTATGAAATAAGGAAACTGATTCTAAACTCAGCACTCCTAAATTGCTTTGTCTAAGAAACTGATCATGGTAACTCTGTTTTCATTTCCAGTGATTTGCTTAGAAATGTACAAAATACAGTTTTGGCAAATAAAACCTGAAGAGAATTCTAGTGGGGCATTTCTGAGAAAAGTTTCCTCACTCTTAAGGAAGAGATACCAGAAAAAATGTTCCTTCTTCCTCCCTTAATGCAGTCTTTTTGACCGGAGGGTACTCAGCCTTTCAGAAAATTGCCCACAGGGTGGACAGAGTGAGAAGTTGAGTTCTTAATGAGGTTGGGGACCTGTGCCTGGAGATTGCCTTATCTCTGGACTTGTTATGTGAGATGATAAATTTCCTTATTGTTTAAACTAGTTTATCAGCATTTTGCTTTTGTATTCCAAAGCATCTGAACTGCTATATAACTGTTCTTTCCTCATAACCTTTCACTTTATTTGGCTGAATCTTTTTGCTAATGTCTAAGCTATGCAAGAATTCTGTTGGATAATTATTCTGCTTTTTGTGTGTGCTCTAAACTTTGCTTAATTTGGTACAACTTCAAACATCACTAATCGATGCAAAGCATGTGTGCTGCAAATGGGTTACATGGGTAAGGAGATGTTGACTCTTTTGGTACTTGGGATGGCTGAGTAGAGTCTGGAGTAGCTGGAAACTTTATAGTGATTATCTTGTCCTGGCAGCAAACAGCATCCTCCGTTTGTTTAAGAGTCCTGAACAAATATTTTCAAATGTGTACACTGAATTAATGTATTGTTATTGCTTATTTCAAAATAATTAGAATGACTAATAATGTTAAACCCAAAGTTGACATGAAATATCAATAAATTAATTGGAATATCAATTAATTAATGGAATAGCTTTCTAGTAGCTTGAAGTTAGCTGTATTTCTCTTTATGCCATATCCCTTTTACAGATTATTGTCATTGACCCTAACTTCCCTGTGGAAATAGGGAAGCAACAGCAAATTTCAGTGCTCTGCCTTAGAACACAAACAACCTGAGTTCCAGCCCATGTCTGCCACTGGGCTGTGAGTAAACCCTCCAAACTTTCTGGACTTCAGTTACCTCATCTGTTAAATTGAGGCTTGCATTAACTGATCCGTGGTGTACCACATGCTTTATTTTGAGGGGGGGGGAAAAGTTCTTATACTCATCGATTAGCAAGTTTTTTGCTACTTTATAAATAAATGCTGTTTGTTATCCAGGGAGCTCATTTTTTTTAATGCTATTTATTATATTATACTTAGCCCTCCATTTATTATTATTATTATTATTTGGTTTTCAAATCTGAAATGGTAGAAAGCATGGATTCCAAAATAGTAAGTGGGTACAGTAGATAATGTCACACTATTGCCTTTGATAATGAGTAGTAACTTCGTAATAATTTAAAATATATGCCCTGAAACTAAAGAGGAAGTTCTGTGTGGGAGAATAGGAGGAGGTAAAGGCTGGAACATAATGGGCTTCATAGTGAACTTGTGAAATTGTGTTCCACACTAAAAAGCATGATAGACTCTCACAGGTGAGGTGAGGGGATTTAACAAGCTGTGGAGTTTTAAATATCTCTGATACTAAGTACTTTGGTTGCAAAAATAACTCCAAAGGGACATGACACCACCTAAAATATAGGGAAGAGCCTCTTATCTAAGCAATACAATGTGTGGGGTACTTTTAACAAAATCTGGCCCTGCATATACTATATAATATCTGAACACCGATGCACTGGCTATGGTTCACTTCTTATTTTCGGTTAAGTTCCCTTGGGTGGGGGTGAGGGGGCAGCTAAGGGCTCTGATTATCTTTATTTAACAATGGGGAGAGAGCAGCTTTGAGGTATATTATGATAAAGACACCTTCCCTCTACTGATCACAAACACACCATTCAATACAGAGATGTTCTCTGGAAGGGTGTTCAGCACTGCAAGTGAACTAGAACTCTAAATACCATTGCATCCATTCCCACATTAATTCGAAAATTATTTATTGCAATTATCTGAGGATTAGGAACACAACCCTTAAAACGATAATGACCACATCTGTCTTCACGCAGCTTTTGTTCTTGAGAGAGAGGCTGATAATAACAAAGCAACAAACAAAAACATTGTTTTAGTTAGTATGAGTGCTCTAAGAAAATTAAGCAGTAGACGATGTTTGTGCTTATTTTCAATTGTGTCATCAGGGAAGGGCTCTCTGCAGAGGTGACATTTGAGTTGGGACCTAAATGACAAGGAACCAGCAGGCAAAGTACCAGGCGGAAAAACAATTCTTGCACAAGGAACACGCTGGATGGAACTTGGCTACTTCTAGGAACTGAAAGAAACCCTTTGTGGCCAAAGCAGTGAGCACGTGTAGGAGATAGGAGGTCCCAGAGTTAGGTCAAGAGTTTCGCTCTTCTACCTGCAGTTGTTATCCATTGCAGGTTTTAAAGTGGAGTGGGAAGTGCGTGATTTAATGTAACTGACACGTAATATACAGTATTGCACGTAGATTTTACTTCTTTGAGGTCTAATTTCTAATTCCCGTGCGGGGCGAACGACACCCGGTCGTCCCTGTTTACCCAGGCTGTTTGCGTTTGCACCCGGCGCCCTGCGCCCCGCTGTTGACAGCCGCTGAGCAGCTTGTGACAGTTGGCTGGCGCAGTGAGGCACAGCCTAAGCCAAGTTGCTGCAGGGGCCGCGGATGCGGGAAGAGAGGAGGGAGAGGAAGGAGGCGGTGGCAGCGGAATGGAAGGGTCGCGGCCTCCGCCGGGTGAGCCACACCGAGGAAGGGATGAGGGAGCCGGGCCCCGACGAGCCTCCCGGAGCCCCTAGTTGCTCCAGACCCAAGGTTCGCCAAGACAGCCGGATTTGACAACTGAAACAATGGCAGCAAGGGGCTGGAGACAAAGGCGGGTGTGCCGCGGCGCAGGGGTGACCCGCGAAGCTTCCGCCGCCCCGCTCTAGCTCCGCCCGGCCTGGCGGCGGGCTCCGGTCGCGGCACCCCGCGAGCCGCAGGTGTTGATTTAGAGCTCGGCCCTCGCAGGCCTCCTGGCCACATTCTGCGGCGACCGCAGTCCCGAAAGATCCAGCGCCGGGTTTTGCGACTCGCCTGCCCGTAGAGGCCGCGCCCGGAACCGCTAGCCCCCGGACGCTAGCCCCGGGTCCCCGCCCTCTCCTCCGCCTCCCGGGTCCGGCCTCTCGGGACCGCTCCGCCGTGGGCGGGCAGCTCGCCGGGGCGGCCCACAGCGTCTTCGAGCCTCGGCGTCGCGAGCTCCCGGGAGCCGCTCCCCGTGCTGGGAAACCGGAGCTTCGCCGTCCGGAGAGTGACCTTCGCCGGCAGGCTCCTGCTCTGCCTTCAGGTCTCGGCACCTCCCATCGAGGCTTCACTTCACCACGCCGTCGGAATTAGCGACTCACTAACACATCACCGCGATTTAATGCTCACCGGGGCGGCTGTTTCAGCCTCGTGTATTTTCCGTGTGTGTTTGTAGTCTGTTTCTGGAACGTCCGCCCCACAAGCAACGGCCGTCTTCTGCCGCGGTGCGGAGTTCTCGGCGCCTAGGACGGTGCAGGGTCTGCTGAGTGACTGACTGAACGTTGCCTGGCCGGGGAGAAGGGGGTGCGGCCGGCCTCCCGGGGGCGTGGCTCCCTCGCATCCCCGCCCATGGGCCCGCCCCCAGCTCGAACTCGCTCCCCCACCTCCCCTCTCAGGAATTGGCTCCGGGCGGTGCGGCGCTTTTCCCCTCTCGCCTCCCCGGCTCTTTCTGCAGCTGTCGCGAAAACCCGGAACGGCGGG